TTTTTTTTTTTTTTTTTTTTTTTTTTTTTTTTTTTTTTTTGCGCAATAGAAAACAACAATGCCCAAAAAAGAAATATGGGCGTGTAAGGTTTTTTGAACCCTACACGCCCATATATATATATATATATATATATTTTTTGGGCGCTAAAATATGAGAATAAAAATGTTGCACCAAACATGGCTGGTCGGCCATGGCCGAACCCGGCCGATTTGGCCGACGTCCGCGGCCGCGGCCGAGTTTTCGGCCCCCGCCATGACCGGGCGTGCAACATAGGGCGGAGCATCCTATGGACCATATGGTGGAAACGATGTATCCTTAAGATAGAGGGGGCGCGGGTAGAGGACGGAGAAGCTATGGAACAAGTACGAACATTGGTTCAACATGAAATTGCAACCCAATGGATAAAGACAAGCTTGATCAATCATATACCTGGGGGGACATGAACAGGATTATCTCCTGTTTCAGCAAAGACTGGCTGGGAGGGGAACGGGAGGGATGGGTGGCTGAGGTAAAATGGTCCAGGACTTGTCGGTCTGAAGAGGAACCCCAGGAGGAACCCCGGGAGGGAATGGTAAGAGATTATCAGTTGATCTTTCATGACTGGACCAAGGTGGACCCCGGCGACCCACTACGACCAGCCTAGGACTTCGCAGACCCCTTCCCCCCCCACCCGTTGTCCTTGGTAGAAGCACTGCCATTGTCATGAGACGGGACGCTGGTTGGTATATTATACGCAGTATATACTCAGCAGACTCAGCAGACTCTACGCTGTCTGCTTATCTGTACCTCCTTGGCTCTCTCTGCTATCTTCTGTTTCCTGCTGTTTTTTCTGCTGCTTCTGATATTGCTCCTTCTCTAATTTCTTCGCTCTCTCTGCCTCCTGCTGTTCTTCTGCCGTTCTGCTGCTGTTTCCTGCTAGTTTCCTGCTGTTTTCTGCTATCCTTCCGTATTCAGAATACTCGGAGTCATGTTCAACAAAGGTTCAGCAGTTCTCTTTTCTTGCTGACCACTTTTGCCCTGCAGGCAGTGGCAGGTAGTTGAATTGGCTGGTTGCAATGGCGTCGCGTTTTATGATGTACGGTATGTCAATATGCTATCTAAGGGACGCTGGACCCGGTTTCCAGCTGGTGACGCTCCCCACCAATAGATGGAGAGGAGTGTCTGGGGAACGGGGAGCTTCTTTTCTTGGGACGCTGAGCCCGATTCTCAGCATAAAATCTCTCAGTATGTGTTTAGCATATTGACACAATAGGCGCCCTGACGATAGTTGGTGGACGGCAGGAGTTAGGGGATGGAGGGAGACTCAACTGGTGCCCCCCAGTGTTCCCCTCCAATACCTGACCCTGCTGCGGGGTAGGTGTGGAAGAGTAGATTTGGATATGGGACGCTGGACCTGGTTTCCAGCACAAGGGCGTCACTTTCAATGATGTACTATGTTGTAAAGATGTCACTTTCAATGATGTACTACGTTGTAAAGATGTATCTAAGGGACGCTGGACCCCCACCAATAGATGGAGCGTCCCACCAGGCAAATCCTCAATCCCGGTGGTTCTCTTACCACCACCGGGATAGAGGCCTTGCACATGCGCCTTAAAAAAAAAAAAAAAAATGGTCACACAGCGCCATCCACCAATTGTGCAAGAACTTTTGTGAACTAATTTTTGTCAATGCGGTCACCTCCAGAGGTGACCGCAAAATCCCTTTGCCCCATGGCTATCCAAGGCCGCTGACAAATTGGCACTGGAATAGTACAGTTGCGAATTTGGTAGATCCGTGTGACCGGCCTTTTCCCTTTTTTTTGGGGATTTTGGGATTATAGGTCCCCGTGTGAGTATGCCATCAATACAAACGTTTTTTTTTTCTTTTCTTTTCTTTAGTCAGCCCTGCCAACGAGGCAGGGCAGTCCGTCCTAAATTTCGTTACTTGGGCGTAGTAAACAGCAGAATGCTTCTATACTGTATTTCTGGGAAGATGCAGTTGAAGAGAAAAAAAACAGAAGTGGAAATGACCCAGACCCAAATAGCCCGCCCCCAGTTTGCAGCGGGAAAAAAGGCTATCCCTCAAAAGGGAAACAATGGACAGCGCCCTTTACTAAATTGGAACGACCTTGACAAGCTAACCTGCCCTAGGACCCGTCTTAGGGAAGCGACCGGACCCTATTTTCTGCTGTCGGAGACCCCAAACGAACCCGTCCTAGCGAAGTTGTAATGCACAACCTTACCGAAAAGAGAAAGAAATGAAACGACGAAAATGAAACCCCACACAAGCGCAGCCTCCTGGCTGCCAACTTACAAGTGACTCTGTTCGTATGAATTTGGTTAATCTTCACCTGTCTGAAACAGACATGAAAGAGATCCTCCACTTCGTCTTTTTTTTCTTCGTTGTTTGTGGGGACCACAAGGGCCATGGATCCGGCAAGACGCTGCCGTGAGATTTCATCATCCCAACCAATGAACTGACCGATTCCATTTCATTCTGGTGGTCATCTAATTCCCTCTGGATTCGAACTTGCGCGCACTTATTTCAACAGTCAATGGGCTTGCCAACTGAGCTAGTGTAGGCCCGCTGGTAGGTGTTTGAGAATAGTCCTCTGGATACCCCTGATACCAACACGGATGTGAGTGTGAGGGCGAGTGGGTTGTGTGTGGTGTGTGGGAGAGAGTTGGCCATAGCCTCTGCTGCTACTCGATGAAGGGTGGGGGATGATGAGAAAGGGAGGCACAGCTACTGGCAGGTCTCTGTCTTTGTGTTAGCCAGACCCCCACTGGCGGCCCCAACCCTATACCCTAAGGGGCAAGGGGCAACATGGAATCTCCCCTTCACAGAGAGAGGAAACTATGCTTGCAGGGGTCCCCTCTAGATAGTCTTAGGAGTAGGTAGTGGAAGGTAAAGAAACAGAAGTTGAGAGAAGAGTATAGAACATAAAAAAAAAAAAAAGAATAGCCCCAAGGGCTATTCTCATGTTCCTATCAATGGAAGCGAAAAAAAAAGACAAAAAAAAAGAAAAAAAAAAAGAAGGAAAAAAAAAAGAGAGTAGTCGAGGGTGAGAAAGTTATAAGAAAAAAAAAAGAAAAAAAAAGAAAGAAAGCTAAAAAATGCGGACGTTTTTTTTTTTTTTTTTTTTACAACTAAAAGGCGGACGTATGCGTTAGGGTATACCGGCAACAGCATTTTTTGAAATGTATTTTCAACCTTTATAGGCGCCGGAACTCGACGCATCTGACTGCAACCACGCCCCGAAATCTGTATGCGAAAACACCAGGTCCTTCGATTCAGCGTTTACGCCATACACTCCCGCTAGGACTATTTTAGCTGAACTTCGAAAGTTATTGCGGGCAGGTGCGTCCAGGACATGCCGTGAAAGCGGTCCGATACATCCAGGAAAGGACTAGTGTGAGTATCATCTCACGCGAGATCAAATAAACGGCCATTCTGCAGGTGGGTGAGATGGTTGACATACCTATCGGGAGCACCTTGGAGTGAAGATAAATCTTCCTTCTTTTTCCCCTTTACGGGCTTGTTCATCTAAGCTATCAAGGATGCAGCGGCCTAGCTCATTTAGTAAGGCAGGGAATTCAAGTGGCATTCAGCAAGTGGTGGGTTCAATCCCCATTGGCCTCATGTACGATCCTGGGCAAGCTTGGCGGCCCCCACCTAGAGATGTCCTTGGTCTTCCCAAGTGGCATCGAGCAGAGACTGCTGATGCTCACAGAGGGAGGGGACCACCACCTGAGGGGAGGCAGAGTGACTGTCCCATAGAAGAAGCGCGGTCCTGATGCTATACGTGCTGACCCCTGGCCGGTATCGCGTCTCACCTGCTGGTGGGTGCAGGTCCCGCATGTTAGCTCGTTGGAGGCTTGAGCACCGATGTGGCTGCTACGGGGTTCTCCGTAATACTCTAATGACAATAAAAAGGTCCTGAAAGGTAGTCCTGTCCAGATTTGACAGGTAATTGAGTTGGTTGGGCTTAAAGAATTAGCCTTAAAAGAGCACGGATGTGGCCGCTACGGGGTTCCCCGTAATACGATAATGACAACAAAATCCCAAAAAAAAATAAAATAAAATAATAATGACAACAAAAAAAAGGCCTGAAAGGCCGTCCTGTCCAGAATTGACAGGTCATTGAGTTGGGCTTGAAGAATTAGCCTCGAAAAAAAAAAAAAAAAAAAAAAAAAAAACATTTCGGAAAGAAATTCGGTAGGATTTGCTATACCGAATATGGCAACGCTCTCTGCGAAACTGTCGTGACTCGACGGGGATGTTATTGGTGGGGTAGTTGAGATGGTGAGGGAGAGTAAGGGGTTCATGGTGCCAGGTTGTGGGGATAGAAGCAGCGCAGGAGAGGGCCATAATGAGGAAGATCTGTTCAGTGAATGGTAGGCAGATGAGATATGGCGTTCGCTCTCGTTAATAATCCGAAGAGCTCTAGTCAGTAGGCTCCTTCCCTCGGAGGCGAGAGCTCCCCTAGGTAGGTTTTCCTGCCCTCGGTAACTTTCTCTCATCGCTCGTTCGTCCTCCCCATGCACCGAAACCCTTCGCATTTGATGACGGGATGCTCGCACATGAAAGACAGAGGATGGGAGGAGAGCGAGGTGTGAAAGACTGAGAGGCAAGTCGAACTTCTGGATAGAGAGGACGAAGACAATGCTTCAGGAAGATCGTCCTAACGACCCCGCTTACTAATCGAATACAAAGGCAACCTTTCGCAGAGAGCTTGCGCTACCGCAAGCAGATCGTCGTGAATCTACGCTTGAAGAAGGTCGTCCTACCTACCTACCGCACGTACTATTCGAATGCAGCGATGTCATTTGCGGACTCGCGTTTTCAGGCGGGTGAGATCAGAGAACTTCTTGTCATAAACACTCTTGGGTGCAGGTTGACGTTCGCTCGTCAGCCACTTCAACACCTCATTTACCTCAGCTTTTTGCGCTCCAGACATCTTCCGAAATTGATTCTCTCGGATCTCCCACGCTAGAGATTGGACATTTCTTCGCGACAACAAAGTCGCCCTTAAAGCCTTATCCTTCGCTTCCCAGTCGGGATCGGCGTGGCTGGGAACCGCCGCAGCCAGGGCGTTGTCCTTGCCGAGGACTGTGCGGCATTCGACCTTGCTTCCAACCTCCACGTGATTCGCTTTCGCTTCCGCTGTCGCACAAAGAATGCCATCGTAGTTCACTTCCATAGCCACCTGCGACACCGTTCTCCCGTTTGCCAGCGAAGGCAGGAAGCCTTCCTGAGTGAATTCGCCCAAGTACCGGTTATGCCGGCAAAGAGCACGTTCCCCCTCATAGATCTTGAACGTCAGCTTGCTTTGGAAGTCCTCGACGGTGACGTACCCTTCAGCTCCTTTCGCCGGAAGAGGAGAACCTTTCGGTATAATGACATGCATTTCCTCCAAGGAGACCTCTACACCAATGCTTAACGAGGTAATCTCCGAGATGGCTATGGTGGGCCTGTCATCGTTCCTAAGACCAGACCCCAGGAGTCCTGCCTGCACCGCCGCCCCGTACGCCACCACCTCGTCCGGCTGGACTGTCTGCAACGGCCTCCTCCCGTCGAAGAACTTTGTGAGGAGCTCTCTTACCTTCGGGATCCTTGTTGATCCTCCCGCCAGAACCACCTCCGAGATCTCGTGCTTCCCGATCCCCGCACCACGAAGAACCTTCTCGACGACGCCGATACACTTGCGGAAGAGATCTCCGTTCAAGGACTCGAAAGCGGAGCGGTCGATGGACATGCTGAACTCCACTCCGCGGGTCTCCAACTCGATGTCCGCATCCTCCTCGAAGGAAAGGGCGTGCTTTACAGATATGACGGCCTGTCTCAGCATAGCACGAGCCTGGCGATCGGTGAGGATGCTCTGCTTGGTCTGGCGCTCGAACTCCGCTGCCACATGCCTCATCAGCCTGTGGTCGAAGTCGGCGCCTCCGAGATGCGATTCTCCCTCCACTGCTAGGACCTCGAAGTCGCACTCTTCCCTACCTCCCTCCCTCACGGCTATGATTGACACGTCGAACGTCCCCCCACCCAGATCGAAAACCATTATCTTCTTCCCCGCGAATGCTTTGCCTATCAAGCGCTGATATCCGTATGCCACTGCTGCTGCCGTGGGCTCGTTCATCAGACGGAGCACGTTCAGCCCCGCCAGAGTACCGGCCTTCTTCGTCACTTCCCGTTGGCTGTCGTTGAAGTAGGCGGGCACAGTGATCACCGCATCTTTGATCGTATCACCGCCCGAGAAATTCTCCGCGATCTTCTTCATCTCCTTTAGCAGCGTGGCCGAAATCTCCTCCGGCTCGAACAACTCCTTAGTATTACCCGATGCACCGGGAACTCGAACGAGAACACCGCCACCTGGCGCAGCCAGCACCTCGAAAGGCCACACCTCCTTCAGTTGGGTGAGCTTGGGATCGAGGAAAGATCGCCCCATCAGGCGCTTAACCTCGAATATGCATCGCTCAGGATGCCGCTCACCAAACATCCTTGCGGCCTCACCAACAAGCCATTTTTCACCGTTGAAAGCGACGACCGACGGTGTGACACGAGAGCCTATCCCGTTCGGAACGATATCGACTTGTTTGTCCCGGTAGATTGCCGCACAGCAGAACGAGGTGCCCAGATCTATGCCAAGGACCGCAGGGGATCCCATGCTGTCCCCAAGAGTGCTCCTACTTACGAAACTCGAAAAGAATCTTCAACGCA